TGTGAAATGTAACACCTGACCTTGTGTTAATGGTGTTGATTACCAGTTAATGGTGAATTAACTCCTGAAAACGTTTTATGCCCATTATCTCTGCCTTAAGTGGCAGATATGACTTCTGGTTTCCCTCAAGATGTGGAAGTCCTATAAATAGGACTTAGAGCTGCAAGTGGAAAATACACAACATTTTCATGCAATCTGATACTCTCAAAGCCTCATGCATCATATCATAGTTCTCGGTTCTCGACTTCATTCTTGTTCGACTGGACCCTGAAGGCTGGTGTGCTACAGCTTCTGAGTGTTAAAGCCGTTGTATCTTTGGGGACATTACGCACTGACCCGTCAGCACTACACGGGGCGTATTTGTCTTGCGGATAGATTTCAATCGCCTCGGCTCAAATCTCTCCGCGTTCGAGTTGTAATTTAATTTTTTGTTTTAGTTCTTTTGTACGAACTGAACACTTCAGTCAGTTCATAGGTTCCCGTTGTAATTTAAACACACATTGTGTAACAATAGCAAGACAAATATCGACACCTACTGAACTGATGGCATCCACTGGAGAAGGATCAAAAACTCAACCACCGGTCACCCCCGCTGTTCTTCATCCTCAACCTGCTGTTCATGTTCCCACTGCTGAGAAGCCCGAAAAATTCAACGGGCTCGATTTCAAGAGGTGGCAACAGAAGATGCACTTCTACCAGACCACATTGGGTTTGGTGAAGTACCTGAAAGACGACCCTCCTGTCGTGGCTGAAAATGAATCGAATGCTGAGCTGCGAGCTGCATACGATGCTTGGGGCAAGGTGATTACCTTTGCCGGAACTATGTCCTCAACGGACTGAGTAACGAGTTGTACAATGTGTATAGCTTGGTTGGCTCTGCCAAGGAGCTTTGGGCTGCTTTGGAGAAGAAATACAAAACTGAGGATGCTGGGGCGAAGAAATTCGTCGTCGGCAAATTTTTGGAGTTCAAAATGGTCGACACTAAGATCGTCGTGTCTCAAGTGCAAGAGTTACAACTCATCTTGCACGACATTCATGCTGAAGGAATGTCTCTGAGCAAGTCATTCCAAGTTGCGGATGTGATCGAGAAACTGCCGCCGGGTTGGAAAGACTTCAAGAACTACCTCAAGCACAAGAGGAAGGAGATGAGTCTTGAAGATCTGGTTGTTCGTCTTCGGATTGAAGAGGACAATCGGAAGTCTTCGGGGAAGGCCCCGATGATGGAAGCTCGTGCCAACTTGCTGGAGCAAGGCAACTCGAGCAAAAGGAAGCCCTTTAACAAAGGGAAGCAGCAGTCTGCCAAAGTGTGGAAATTTACTAGAAATTGCCACAACTGTGGAAAGCCGAACCATATGGCTAAGGACTGCAGGAAGCCTA